GCTCCGTCCTTGTCTTGTGGGGTCGGGGCTTGGGGAGAGGACTCGGCCTCGGGTCCTGTGGTGGAGGACCTCGAGGCTGGGGAGGGGCTGACTTGGGGGCCTTGGGCCCCGCTGGACCCCGCCTGGGTTTTTCTTCCCACTGAGCGGGGCTTATTGTTACAAGGAGTGGGGTTTTCTTTTCCTCCCTCTGCGTACGAGTTGGATTTGGTGTCGGCCCCTCCCCGGGTTCGGTTCCGTGTTCCCCCGGGTACGTCGGTTCCGTCCTTCCGGAGGTTTTCGGCTTATCGCATCCAACCTGGTGTGGTGCGAGCGGCCTTTGCAGCTTACCTCCTGCGTGACCCGGATTATGCCTCGGAAATGGATCCGTCCACGTTCAGGTTTGGGACTTCGTTCCCTTTCTGGCTCCGTTACGAGGTTCCGGAGTCGTCCTGGCTAGCAGACTGCCCCTTGTTTGGTCTGGATTCCTGGCATTCCTTCTGTCGTTCCCGCACGCTGGAGTGGCGGGAAGCTTCCACAGTGCTTCAGGTTTTCCTGGGGGCGAACTTGAGTACCTGAATGAGTGCTTGTTTGCCCCTGCCCTTCCCCGCGATGTGGGCGTTATTCAGCTCCATGTGCAGGTTCCCTCCCTTTTGGTGGCGCTCGTTGCGGAGGACTTGCGCGCCCGGGGCCTTTTGAGTTCAGCCTTGCGGTTCTTTTCCCTCCTGGAGCTGTCTTCGGATTGGCTCAAGGAGGATGTGGGGACGCTTGGGTCCGTCCCGGGGTCCGGCACCTTGTCCTCGGCTGCGCGTTCGTCGGCTGCCTTGTTGAAGCTGTTCACGCCGATTTTGCGGGATGCGGTTTCCCTGTTCTATGCTTCCCGTCTCGCGTGTCGGCAGGCGGTGCTGGGTTCGTCCGTGGAATCTGCTTGGGCTCTGGCTCTTAGGCGTTCTTCACCTTTTTGTCCTCTCCTGTTTGCGGAGTCGGCCGTGGCGCAGTTTATTCAGGCTGCGTCGGCGGCTTGTCGTCCGATGTCGGACTTGTTGGTTTTCTGGGGGTCCCGGGGTGGGTCTTCCCGGAAAGGTCGTGCCAGGGCTCGGGGTTCCTCTTGTCGTGGTAGGCCTCTGGTGTCAGGTTCGGGGTTGGCTCCTCCTGTGGACCCTCCCTCGTCTGGTCGGCGCGGTGTTAGCGCTGTGCGGGGTTCTGGGTCTTGTAAGGGTCGCCGGCCCTTTCGCGGTTTGCCCCCTTGACGGGGCGATGGGGGGGGGGGCGGCTTGCACTGTTCGCCCGCGCCTGGTCCCACGATTCGTGGGCCTTTCGGGTCGTGTCTCGCGGCCTGCGGTGGCGTTGGGTGGCCCCTCCCCCCTTTGGGGGGTCGGGGCTGGCAGGGTAGGTTTCTTCCCCTGCGCTCTGTCGAGTAGCCTTGGAGTGGGTACGCTTGGGCGTCGTCGAAACGACGACGTCCCTCAGATGGGTTTCCCGTCTGTTTCCGGTTCCGAAACGGGACTGCGCGGACCTGCGGTTCATTCTGGACTTGTCCCGTCTGAACCCCTGGGTTCATTGCCCCTCCTTTCGGATGACTACGCTGTCTCAGATTCGGCTCCTCTTGGAGCCGGGAGCTTGGATGGTGTCCCTGGACCTCCGGGACGCTTATTGGCATGTCCCGATTCATCCGCGGTTCAGGGACTGGCTCGGTTTTGTTGTGGGGCGTCTGAGTTACCGCTTTCGTTGTCTCCCGTTCGGGTTGAACCTGGCACCTCGCGTGTTCACGCGCCTCACACGGGTTGTGGTGGCTCGTTTGCGTCTCCTAGGTGTTTGGGTGTTGGCCTACCTCGACGACTGGCTGGTTTGGGCTCCCAGCCAGTCAGCTTGCTTGCTAGCCAGGGATTTGGTTCTTTCCCAGCTCGCCGGGTTCGGGTTCTTGGTGAACTGGAGGAAGTCCCATCTGGTTCCCTCTCAGGTTCGGACTTGGCTGGGTCTCTTTTGGGACTCTCGAACCGCCTCCTTGTCTCTCCTGCGGCTGCGGTCCCGCGTTCGTCTGTTTCTGGAGGGCCCTCGGGTCACCCGGCGGTTGCTCGAGGGGCTGTGCGGGAGCCTGAACTTCGCGATGGTGGTCTACCTGCCGGGTCGGATTTGGCTTCGACGGCTGTTCTGGTTCCTTCGGGGTTCCCCCTTCCGCCTCTCTCGCGATCGCAGAGTTCGACCCCCGGGGGCCTTGCGTCGGTTGCTGCGTCACCGGCTTCCTCTTCGGGTTTTTCGGGGTTCAGTGCCTTGGCGCCTACCCGAGCCCTCGCTCGATGTGTACACGGATGCGTCGTCTCTCGGCTGGGGTTTTGTGACCAGTGCTCACCAGGCCGGCCAGGGGCGTTGGGATCCGTCCTTCCGTCGAGCTCACAGCACGGTGCGGGAGTTCGCGGAGTGTGGTTTGCTCTGGGGAGGATTCGGGTGGCCCGCGGATCGACGATTCGGCTCCATTCGGACTGCTCTCCGGTGGTTCATTGCCTGAACCGCGGGGGTTCGATGCGGTCCTTGTCTCTTTGGGGTTGGTCGCTTCGGGTGACTCTTCTGCTGAGTTCTCGGGGTTTGGCTCTCCTGGCGGTTCACGTACGGGGCGTGTCCGTCTTGGCCGATGCCCTGTCTCGCTTCGTTCCCCTCTCCACGGAGTGGACGGTCGACGACGAGTCCTTCCGTTGGCTTTGCCAGACGTTCGGGCGCCCCGAAGTGGACCTCTTCGCATCGGCATGGTCGCGGCGTCTTCCCGTTTATGCAGCGCCCTTTCCCGATCGCGAGGCCGTCGGGGTCGATGCCTTTCGGCTAGACTGGTCGAGGTGGGGGTTCCTGTACCTCTTTCCCCCGGTTCGGCTGTTGCTCCAGGTCTTGACTCGTTTGGAGACTTACCAGGGGAGAGTTGTCCTTCTGGCCCCTTGGTGGCCGGCCCAGCCTTGGTTTCAGGCGCTGGTTGCTCGGTGTCCGAACCCGAGGGTTTTCCCGCGGCTCCGCCTCTTCCAGCAGATTGGGCCGGTACGTCACGTGGCTGGTTCGATCTTCTCCTCGAGTCTTCGCGTATGGTTTTTTTGACTCGAGTCTATCATCATCTCTATGGTGATCAGGTGGCCTCCTTGTTGGTGTCCCACCTGAGGGCTTCTTCTCGGCGGCAGTACGAAGTTTCCTGGCGGTCCTTCCTTTTCTTTTTGCGTCTTCGTCGTGTTAGCTCCTTGTCTGTTCGGGTGGTCTTGTCCTTCCTCTCGTGGTTGTTTCAGGACCGTCATCTTATGCCTAACACTGTCACTTTGTATCGTGCGGCACTGGCGGAGCCGCTTCAGCTTGCTTTCGGTATCGATGTTACGTCTGCGCCGTTTCGCAAGCTGTCTCGTGCATTGTTTCACCTCCGGCCTGCTCATGCGTCGCCTGAGCCGTCCTGGTCTTTGGACAGAGTGCTCGCTTTCCTTTCATCTCCTCGTTTCGTTGTGGCCCCTTCGGTCCAGGATTGTTTTTCCAAGGCACTTTTCTTGTTGGCTTTGGCCTCTGGGGGTCGGGTAGGGGAGCTTCATGCTCTCCTCCGGCGCAGGGGTTTCTGCTCTTTTGGTCGTGGTGATTGTTTTGTTCGTTTGCAGCCGTCTCCTTCTTTTCTGGCGAAGAATGAGACTGCTGCGTTCCAGAGGGGTCCATGGGTGGTTGATGCTTGGTTGATCAGGCCGGGGGTGCATCATGTTTTGTGTCCGGTTGCGGCGCTTCACCGTTATTTGCGCGCCACAGCTTCTGTGTCCGGGGACGCGCTGTGGGTTGATCCGGTTTCCCTTCTTCCCTGTTATCGGGTTCGGGTCTCTCAGGTCGTCCGCAGGGTTATTAAGTCCAGCCAGCCTGCGGTCTATCCCCGTGCCCATGACGTTCGTAAGTTCGCGGCTCTTGCTGCCGTCTTTGGAAATATGTCTTGGTCTGATATTCGGGCACGGGGATTTTGGCGGTCTAACAGGGTCCTGGCTGCTCGTTACCTTGTGAATGTCCCTGGGCCTCGTCGGGCCTGTGTTGCTTTGGGTCGGCGGTTGCAGCCAGTTGTCTCGGCTTCGAGTTGAGGAGTGAGCGACGACCGCCTCCCGGGTAAGTCCCTCTTTTTCTGTCTGTGGGTAGTTAGCTCCGGGGAGCCGACGGGGCTCCCCCCAGAAAACCAGCGTTGAATGTAATGAAACGCCATTTTCTGGGCGAGTCCCGGAGGCTTCCCGGCATCCCTCCCTCCCTCCGGTCGGCGGTTTTTCGCGTTTTTGACATCCAGCCTCAAGAACTGAGGTGTGGGTAGCCGGCGCGGGGGGTCTGGGGCTCCCCCTTCCCCCTCCCGGGGAGGGGGGAGCTGCGCAGACAGCGGCGCGGCGGTGTGTGACGTCACACTAGTTTGCTTGTTTTCGGTTGGGGAGTTCTATCCACTAGTTCGGTTTTTGGTAGCAATTTTAACCAGAATAGGGGTTTGTTTTGAGGCGCTTACCTTTCTGGGTGCCTGTTCCGGTCGATGGCAGACATAGAATGCTTCCAACCACACGGGGGCTTCTATAGGCCATTGCTCCCCTTGCCTCTCTGAGGGGGCCCGGTTCTGGCCGTGGTCCCCGGTAGGCCTAAGAACTCCATACACATGACTGATGCCAAAGTCTGACATTAGCATATCAGCCTGGGATAGCTCCGGGGAGCCTCCGGGACTCTCCCAGAAAATGGCGTTTCATTACATTCAACGCTGGTTTTTTTTCTTTTTTCGCAGGGATTTTATTTTTTTATATAGGTATTGGTTGTCTTGGAGACCATATGGACATAACCTTGCCTTCTTTTTTTCTTTTTTCGCAGGGATTTTTTCTGCACGGGCCCTAAGCCTCTGGCTGCCTCACTAGGCCCTTGATATGAGAGCATTTTGGTTGGCCAGTTTTCTGAAGTTAAAAACATATGGTAATACAGTAGATAAATATTCACAAATATTTTCATAATTAACATTCTTTCAAGGTAATTGAAATCCTTAACCCTTATTCACTACAAGTCATTACCAGGCAGAGGAAGCAGCCCTCGAAGATCAGCAGAACGATACGTTGGGCCAAACAACGCCGGGTACAATCATGACTCCTATAAGCACACCACAGATGATGATTCCAGGACTTCAGCAGTACCAACAGAGTATGTATAACCAACAGCAGCAACAACAACAGCAAGCTCCAATGCCCCATCCACCAACACCCACACTTCTTACACCTGGAGAGATCATCAGAAGCTCTGGAAAATTTGCAAAGCCAACACGAATCCCTGGAAAAAATTATTGCAAAGATGAGGTGGTGATTCGTAATGCTGACTCTGGAAAAGGTAAGCTAATATTTTATCTAGCATTATTTTAAGGGGTAATTGAAATGCTTTGACAGAATTATAGTTTTAGTATTATATCTATTTTTTATATTGTTAATAATGATAACTGTAAAAGCTGTCAAGTATTTTATTAGCCACTTTTGCTTAAAGTCTGCACGGGATCAACTAAATAAAATGGGTTGTCCCCTGCGATAATATTTTTATTTCCTGGTGCCCGTGAAAATATAAAATTCTGTAATATATTTGAGCGATTCTCTGGCCTTCAAGGTTGGCACCTGGCTCATATTTTCTGCTGTCTGTTCAAGGTTGTCATGGTACCTGTCTATTTACCTGGCCAGGCTGAGTTTTTTAGTTTAAAGACCTAGTCGGGTTTTAAGAAAGCTTTTTTGGTTTAATATGGGCCAACTTAGTTATTTCTATTTCTGTTTAAACTTGCACATTTTTTGGTATCTATTGATTAAATACATAAAAGTCCAGCTTGCCCCAACACAGGTGTATTAAGTTTTAAGAGAAAACCTGGGGTTTTGCTGTGATAAATCAAATGTATTGCCAAGGATGCCTCCTTCACAATCCTACACTCGCTCATTATTCCTGTTTGCATGGTTTATATACTGTAATTAAGGTGTCTTCTATTATTTTAAACATCATTACATATGGTGTAAAAGGGATACAGTACCATAGTGTACATACACATAATAAATATCACCAGGTTCCCAAAGAAATTGATATTGTGTGGCCCAGCCACTGCATGGCTTAAGTTCCACCCATTCATGATGGGTGTGATTTTTACAAGCATCTAATGTTCCATTGGGCACCATTTTCTAGATGATGCATATTGCCTCATTGGGATGAGTGTTAATACTGTATTTGCTTTTTCACAAATCTGATTTAGTTTAGTTCATTTCTTATGCACCCATACCCATCGTGTGGGTGGTGGCGGAAAAGATTATCGAGGCACGTAACGGCTCGTTTGGCTAACCAAGTTAGTCTTGCACAAATAAGAGGTAAGGTGTTTTGCCTTTAAGCATACTGAAAGTGCATGTTAGCAGTTTGATGTTCAAGGCACAGCTTTTTAGATAGTAATTGATTATAGAATATTTCAGGAAAGATTTGTCCAATGGAAAAACACTTAGTTAAGGGATTAAGGAAAATTAGACTACTAGGAGGTCACTATAAAGTCTACTGAATAACCTTTCCTAGAAATATTAATATAATTTCTTAGCCAATTACCTTGGTTACTTCATACAGTAAGATGCGACTGTATCCTAAGATCATGGTCTACACAGTCAAGATAGGGTGACACATGAACTGTTGCTGCAGAATCAGATTCAATAAGCCCTTGCAGATTCATACTGGTATTGGGAAGCATTGGGGGAATAATCTAACACAGATTGATCCTAATAAAGAATTTTAAGAACTCATATAAGAACTTGAGCCCATCTGTGCACTCCTCACGATCAAAGATGGTCGTTGAGAAGTAGTCTGGTACCTACTAGTCAGTCCCAAGTTGGCCTCAACTTGCAACCACCAACAGGCAGCAACACCAACCACACAAAAAGGGTAACAGCTTCAAACTCCACCAACCACAATATAGGACAGAAAACAGATATTTTCTGTGGGGAGCCCCTACGGCTTCCTGGAGCTTATCAGGCTAATGTATGTTATATTAGACCGGGACATTAGCTAAGGAGTTCAGACCTGCCAGGGACCAGCGCCAGAACCTGGCCCCTTCAGAGAGGTTTCAGGGAGCAATGGCCCTGGAAAACCCCCTTGTGGTTGGGGTTTTCCTTATCTGCCATCAACTGGGGTTAGGCACCCAGAAAGGTAGGCATAACAAAACAAATCCCACATGGTAAGAAACTAAAAACAAAAACCGAACGGAGAGGTAGAAACTCCCTACAATCCCAAGGAAACAAGCAAACATCACACTTTTACTGCCGCGCCGATCATTCGCTCTACCCTCCCCGCCCCAAGAGGGGGATAGGGGGTCCCAGGACCTCACCACGCCGGCTGCCTAACATCAGTTCGTAAGCTAATGTCAACCGGGATAGACACTTCTCTGGCCTCAATTTCCTAGGCGGTGTTTGCCTTTCGTGGCGTTCACTGCTGTGTGTTGTGTTGTGCGGTGGCCAGGTGTTCCTCATCAGTACTGAGGCTGCATGCACTTAGGGGCTTCCTTCCCTAAGCGCCCTATGAGTACTGCCCCTGCGTGACAGGGTTATCTTCCCTGGGGCGTTCGGGAACCATTCCCATAGAGGTTCTTGCTGCTCGGCATTTGCCTCGCCCTTAGGGCCAGCTGGAGCTTGGGGCCCTTGTTTGGCCCTGGGTAGGAACTGGTATTGTGCTGGTTAGGGTGTCAAGGTGTTGCGCGACCTGCCACCTAAGCGGCAACCGGTTCTTGTTGCCTCTGGGGACGGTGTACTTTTGCGGGGTTTTTCTTTTGTTTTTATTTTCATTTGCCTGGTGGGAGTCTGCCTAGTGTGGCTATAGTTCCACTGGTAGTGTTCGGTGGACCTCTGATAGGCCCCTGTGATTGTACACGTCGCAGGGGTTTTCAGTGTTGTCCTTTGCCCCCTTGTTAGTTTTGGGTGTTAACCGGTTAGCAACACCTTGCCCGGGCTTCCCGTAGTTGTTACCCTACGGGCCCTGGAAAACCCTGTCGGGACTCGGAATGTGTCTTCCGGGTTCCAACCCATCTTGTACGGGTTCGTTGGTTGCTGTGCCTTTGCGTTCGGGTGACAGTTGCCACTTTTACCTCCGTCATGTTGCCTGTTGAGTCCCTGACACCTTGACCCGGAGTCTTGCGAGAGATATTCTCTGCTTATTCTCCAGTACTCTCCTGATGTTATTACTGTTCAGAGTACATGAGGCATCCGTGTTGCAAGCTAGGTTAGGTTGCTGCAACACGCTTGGTTGGTTTCCCACTCGGATGCCTCGAGGCCGCCCTGTTTTGGTTAGGTGCTGTTCACCCCTTTCCCTCCCTGTTCCCGGCTCCTGACCATCTGCGGGTTTCAGGGTCGAGTCGGGGTTTAGCTGCGGCCGAGACTCGGGCGGTTTCGGGGGCTGCCCCGTTCAGGTTGGGGACGGAGGTTTTCAAGCCTGTTCCTCCTGCCAAGGCTTCTGTGTCTTACCAGTGGCCCTTTCTTCCTGCCTTTCCCATGGACTCTTCCTTTTCTTTAAGGGCGGAGGGCTTGGAGGACGGCTCTGCCCCAGGGCCTCTGTTGCGGGTTCCCAGGGCTATGGGGGATGCCTGCTAGCAGTTCTGGGGCCATTTGCCCCTGCCTGGGTTTTCTGCTTCTGGGTGGAGTTTTTCGTCCATCCAGTCTGCTTGCTTCCCACTTTTGCTGGGGTGTTTTCATATCTTTTGCGGTGGTCACAGCCCCCCTGTTCTGGTGGCCATTTTCTTCTGCCGGTTTCCCAGCATGGCCACCATGGCGGCATTGGGATTTGTTTACATGCGCCTGGGTGTGTGAGCGAGCGTCTTGGGTGAGATTTTTCACCTTTTTCAGGGGGTTGTATTCTCCTGTTGTCGTTTCTTTGCTCTTCTGGTGTTTTTTGCCCGTCTTCTGTTCCTCTGGGAACGTTTGGGTGTTGATTTTACACCGGGTTTTCCATTTTGTCTGTATTGGGTCTGGGCCCTAGGATTTGGGCTTGGTGTCCCTGTCTGTTATGCTTGCTCCCACACCTTGTCCCTCGGTTTTCGGTCTGTTTTAGCCGTTTCCCTGGGGGTTATGTCTGGGGCCTGTGCTTTGCCTTTCTGTGGTGTATCTCCGCCGGCAAATGTGGTGGTTTGGGCTCCCCCGGGTTCGATTCCGGGTTCCTTTAGGTTATTTGGTTTCGTTCCGGAGGTTTCTTCCTCTTGGGCCCCCTTTGTGGGTTCAGGGGGCTTTGTTTCCTCGTGTGTGACCCGGTTCTGCCATCTGGGGTTCCAGGGTCTTCCTGGCTTGCAGGCTGATCTTTTTGGGCCTTGGCACGTGTTGTGGTCATGCCGGGGCTTTGGGTTTTGTTGTCGAGGTGGGCCTTTTGGTGCAGTTTTGTGCCTTCTTCGCCTGGCCGGCGTGGTGCTCTCTGCCCACTGGTCGGCAGCTTGTAATTTTCTTTTCACGTGTATGTGTGTGTGTGTACACATGTACATGTACATGTGCACACTGTGTGTGTGTGTAATTACCTAAGTGTAGTTACAAGATGAGAGCTATGCTCGTGGTGTCCCGTCTTCCCAGCACTCTTTGTCATATAACGCTTTGAAACTACTGACGGTCTTGGCCTCCACCACCTTCTCACCTAACTTGTTCCAACCGTCTACCACTCTGTTTGCGAAAGTGAATTTTCTTATATTTCTTCGGCATCTGTGTTTAGCTAATTTAAATCTATGACCTCTTGTTCTTAAAGTTCCAGGTGGCTGGTTTGCTGGGTTCTCGGGGTTTGGCTAACCATGAGTTTCATGTCCGGGGTGTGTCCTACGACCTAGTGGACAGCCTGTCTGGGTTCATTCCTCTGTTCGCGGATTGGCCAGTTGTCGCCGACTCGTTTTTTTGGCTCTGCCGGACGTTTGGACTCCTGGCCATGGACATCTTCATGTCGGCATGGTCTAGGCGTCGCCCATTCTATGTGGCACCCTTACTCGCCTGCGAGGCGTTCACGGTGGATGCCTTTCAGCAGGACTGGTAGAGGTAGGGGTACCTGTTCCTCTTCTCCCAGTCCAGCTGTTGCTTCGGGTTCTGGCTCGGTTGGAGTCCATTCCCAGTAGTCCTCATGGTCCCTTGGTGGCCGGCCCAGCTTTATTTTCAGACGCTGCTTGATAGGTGTTCGAACCCAGGGCGTTTTCCCATGGCTCCGCCTCTTTCGGCAAGTCGGTTCGGTCCTGTACGTGACTGATTCGGCCTTCTCCTTGGCTCTTCGCGTCTGGTATTTTGATGCAGGTATCAACATCTCTATGGTGATCAGGTGGCTTCGTTGATGGTGTCCCACCTGTGAGCTTCATCTTGGCGACAGTATGATGT